ATGAAAAACTGTGCACGAAGTTTGGAAGAAGAGCAACTGGGAGATCGTTAATCTGTTTGGAAACATCACTCTGTACTCATTTTTATATGCAGCTGGTCTTCAGTTAACAAGATTTAGTATAGATAAACATTTGTCAAAAGCTCGAATACTAGCATTCGGAAATTTATAGTTTTTCGTTATCGTCATCGTTTGATAACTCATACTGGAATGATTCATATTTATCATATCCTCTTAAACCCAAACGACAACAACCTACATTCTCTCCCTCTCTCTCTCTCTGCCCATGAATTACGGTTCCACAGTGCAGGATTCTCTGGAAGAAAGCGGTGAGATTAACTATTCAAAATTGGAAATCACTGTGGCACTGAATCGAAGTGATGTTGCAAGAGAAAAAGTATTCCTTTCCGGACTCAAATATAACGTACGTATTAATTTTCATTAAACCTTTTCTGTTTGGTTGTATTACCTACATTTTGGTTAATTTCGTTTGTATAAAACTGTCATAATTATTGCAGAAACAAAAGGAGCTGCGAACATTATTTTCAAACATCTGTCTCTCAAGTTTCTTTGGAAACAACCAATCTCGGAGGAAAAACATGCACTTATTTGAATGCGTTTTAACGTTATCATTAATTGTGTGTTGTAGCGTGTCGGATAAATGTCACCATTTTTGTCCAAGCATCGTTTAGATCTCGTCTTCATGCAAAACCAATCTGATTTCTTTTCAGTTGGTTGGTTGGTTGAATCCATTGAGGATTGTGTGTAAATGAGAGAAATCCGAATGATAGTCAACGTCGATTTATTTCTTTTCAATTATTTTACAACACCTTTATTTCTATGATTTACTTCAGGATGAAAAACTGGCTGTATATATCACGACATTTCTACTAAACGACAACGTGCCTTTCCTAAAACTGTTCCTGGAGAAAGGTTTCAACTTGAAAAGTTATCTGACTTTTTCCGCCTTGGAACGGTTGTACACCTATTCCGTGCATTCTCAGGTGAGTTCACAGCCCCATCAGTCACAGTTTACCATCCCAGATGCACAGAACACCTACGAAAAAATTCCCATATTCCACACACTGTGTGCTGCTCCAAACAACTTTTACTATACTCATGCGTAGAGAAATTTTCTGTTGAGAAAAAAGAACACGAAATAGCGAACAAGCTCGTTCCGATAACTCCCTCATCTGGTTAGTGCAGTTATATAAACAGGCAATAGACCAATTACATTTGCATTTGACGCGTTTGTGGATTGGACTGGTAGATATAATTAGTTGTTTATGTGTGGTTTACAAATAAAAATGGAGTGGTGGGTGGATGGGAATATGGACGTATCACAACAGGGTTAGGACCGAGTCAAGGTTAACCATCACCCGTTTAGGATACAGGGTCATTCAAAAGAATCAATGGGTCATGGAAAGAGTCAGCTTCAGTCAATTGACTGAATTCAGCCTGTGGTCACGGCAGTTGAAGTGCTTTAACGAATCGCTTTTGGGAACAAAGCGAGGGGTTAAATAGACGGATGGCTACTGCCTCAACTGTCGCTCAATGTTGCTGAAGAACAGTCCTAGATGAATAAAGAGGCTTCCAGTATTTCACCTTGAAAGTATCTTCAATCACAGTATGTCCCGTATTTGCGAGCTGTTCCACTTTTCATGGTTTTTCTATCTCCAACAGTCAATCGGGCTGGTGTGTATTCCTTGATCCTCCGGGAAAACTACCTGATGGTTTTACCTATGTAGCCTGCCGAACATGAGCCAATAAATTGTCCTTTCAAAATAATACTTTAAGTACTGTCCGCAGTTCCGTTTCACGTGACTTATAGTATTGTCGGGGGATCGCTTACTGTCCAACTAATCACTTTTGTGTCAATCTTTTTTCCAGTCCTCGAAGAAAGCTTTGCAGAATGTTATCAAACGATTCATGAAGGTGAGCACTGACCCAAAATCCAGTTCATTTAATCTTCCATCTCATTTAAGATGATCATCAAATACCTAATTTCAACTTAAATTTCACTAATTCTATTAGATCAGATAATATAAATCAGTACTAAACTCCCAATTAAAAAGCATCATCAACCAATGCTGAAGGGCATCACAGTACATAATGTGAGTGAAATTCAGTATGACGAATGAGCTTTTATTCTGAATAAATCGCTAGTCAAACGGATAGCTTTCCTAAGGGGTTAAAAACGTCATATGTACCATCTGTTAGGGTTAGATTCGGTCTTGAGATCGGATGTGAGGTCAGCATCGATAACAATCGTAGCTGTGTGCGTAGAGCTGTAGAAAGGTCAGTGGATCCATTTTCAAAAGTGTGTTTCTTTGAAACCGACAGTCAGCCTGGTTCGTTGCCTAACGATGGGACGGAAATAAAAGATCTGCAATAAATCCACGATGGTGAAATAACAAAGGTTCCGAAGGACAGTTTTCGCAGTCAATGGCTCTTCTAAGCGGGATGACGAAATCTCATCTAAACAGCAGAAGGAAAGTTGATTTTTTTTTAAATATGTCATTATACATCTTGTCGTTTAGGAGAAACTTATACCAATGTTCACATCTGTATTTCACACGCGTCTGAATCCAGACCCTTATAACAAAGTCATCAGACTATGAATTGCTAGTAGGCGGTATACTGCCCGTTGAATCAGGCATAGCAGGCGGAGTTCATTGGGCGGATTATTAGTCGGGGCCTTCGGATATTCAGAGCCTGACCAGAGCGCCAGTGGGGCTGTTTGGGAAAACCGCACTCTATTGCAGGCCGATGTTCAGTCCATAAAATCAAACGCCATTTAAACAGAGTGGAACGTCCATTGTACCCAAGACACCTAGAAGCTGGAGATCACAGCCAGAATCAGGGAAATGTGCCTGGTTCGTATGCCTCATCTTCGTTGGATTTAAATCGGTGTTTTTACACAATTTCCCAATGTAAACTGTCAGTGGTTTATCAACCCGGTTTGAGATCTGGATTTGGCTTTACGATCGCTCAATTTAGTGGGAAACCATCACGTGAAAACAGTAAATAGGGTTATCTCAGTAAAGACTATTTGAGACGCTTTATACCATTGAAACATTTCGCGGTATGCGGGGAAATACTGATCATGCACAACTCAACACACCAACCCATAAAGAGGATGAGGTCTACGGAAGCAAAGACAAACAAAGATCATCAGCCTCAGTTCATAATTTTGTTTGGGAGAAAAAGTACAGTGTTCACATTAAAGATGACAATATGTTTACCGTGAAAAGACAAAATTTTATATATTGCGTTTCCCTTCATTTATTTCCTTGTTCCTGGGGTAAATGCACTAATGAATGAAACATCATACTGCATAGTTATATACTGCAACATCCCTCACCATAAGTTCAGTCAAATCACATGGTGGACAGTCCCTCCTCGGCATAGGAATCGCGGTTGACTATGAATACAAATACGATCGCGTATGTTAGCCTCATCAAAAGCGGTGGAATTTTGTCTCCACATCCCCCCGAAGCCTAATATCTGTGAGCAGACTTTCCTCGTTGACTACACTTCATAATTCAATTGAGCGGTAGTTTTTATTCAGTACCTTATTTCAGAGTTTCACAGTATAATTTGAACCCCATAAAAGTTTGGTTTTTCTATCAAAGAAGCCGAAATGTAATGAAATTTATCGGTTTTCACTTTGACCGGTAGTTTATTCCAAAAGCTTGAAATATTGCATGAGTAGGGAAAAATAATAATTTCTCAATCATCTACTCTACGTGCCCTTTTTTATCCTAGCTACCAGAGAAAATCAGTCTGTTGCTTATCGGAAAAGTCTTGACCTTGTTACTTGGAAGTCACTTCTACCCCATCTACTTAGATCCACAGTTTACTCGAGCGGCCGAAGAAGGTGAGTGTCGACTAGATGGTTTGTTTCCGTTTGGTGATTACTCAATAACACAAACCTTTGACGGGTAAAACGATTCCCACTGGCTGACTTAATGCAGGTCACTTGAGTGACCTGATAAAAGCTCGAGTGACAGAGCGGCGAACCGCAAACGATGTGATACACCTGGTAATTAATGGTACAACTGATACCCAGGAACTGAACTACGGTCAAAGGCTGATTTCGGAGATAGGTAACAAAGATGGTCTGCGGTGGCCTCTTTGTTGGTGGGAATCTATCACGTGACATCCAGGTCGATATTTTGGTGACCTGATTCTCTCAATTAACACTATCCGTGTTTATTTCAATGAAGAATCATGCAAATCAATTTACCCGGACTAATATGCTCTACTCGGTTCGGTTGTACTCTGTCACTCGTTCCAAACCGGTATTGAATGGCATTGTTCTCAAAAATTGACTTACATCGCCTGCCGGCCTGAGTATCAACCCAAAATATTGTGAATAAAGATAGGGGCATTAATAAACAAATCGACCAAAAATGTCCCATGGATGGTTCTGATTTTCTGGATGGCAGGTGTAATATTTTGTGTGGTGGGATGATTGATTCATCACTTGCTGCGTTGCGTAGCCCAACCATTTTAAACTGTAAAATGATTCTCATGAACTTAGGTGAATAAGCGTATCTCCAAATTAAGTGTGCACGTAACTAAACTCAAGTTAACCAATCGATAACCTGGATCATTTAGGCACCCCTTAGAATATACAGGACCTTTATTGCATGTGAACTCTGATGTTATTCAAGGCTTCCACTTCCTGAATTCATATTAGTTGGGATACGCGAAGTTTACTTTATGATAGGCACATCTCGGTGGGACGAAATTCAGTCCGCCGACGTTTTTGTTGAGTGTGATACCACCAGGTTTTCCTCATAAAAGCAGATGATTTTCTCGGGAAGTGATAATCATTGCTTTTGGCTGACCAACGACTGACGGCGGAGTGGTGTATCCAGTACTATATCAAGTTCTTGTAATATAATTTGCACGTACGTAGTCTCCTACGTATCTTATAGCCCGATCAAGAAAATGATCACTAAAACTCGGAGCCAGTTTGTATGTACCTCCTCTTTCTAGGCTAAGTCAAGTTATGCGTTTTCTTGAATAAATCCAAGGAGGAGAACATTCAATATTGCCATGTACCATGTACTACCATGTACGTGTACGTAAAGATTAGTTAAACAGGATGACATATTGACCGAAAAGTTACCCGATCAGCAGTGTAAATAGTTTTTGATAAATAAGTTTTATATTCCAAAGAAATCTAGCTAGGTAAGGCTCCATCGAGCGTTTATATTGCCGTAGGTCAAGCGGTATGGTTCATCAACTTCTCGCCCGTGTATTCGTATCCCACCACCTCGCCCTAGCTTTAGCAAAAGCATGTGTAACAGGAAAACAGTCAGTATAACATCTCCAGAAGATGTTTTTATATACTAAATCAATAACGATAATTGTACGGGTGGGAAACAGACCCTTAACTTTGCTCAGAGCAAATAAAGCTTCTTAAGGGTCTACCAAGTTAAAACAAAACACCAATATTCCCATAAGTTCATTCTTTCAGAATAATAATTAGACTACGGCAGGAAAAGAGCTTGTACAGACTCCTTTTGTTGTGGCAAATACTTTTTCACTGAGCCTAGCAATAAAAATCATGTGGTGAATGTATTGCGTTTCGCTTTTGCTTGATTCGTTACCTGAACGGGTCGCAAAAATACTTTGTCAAAACGTAACACTGATCATTGTTTTTAGTGCTTCTTACTGTATTGTAATGGCTTGTGCATTTGTCTTTGCCAACATTTCAGTCAGATTCATGTTTTCACTGGGATAAATTGATAAAAGTGTCATTTACAAAAATTGTGAAATATGGATAGAAAGAGGACCATCTATTGGGATTCATACTGATGTCTTTTGGTACTTCTTACTTTCAAACAGGCGAATAGGAAACGGTTTAAGCATGATGGGCATTTATGCAAAGTTCTAAACAACAGAACTTGGATCCCATTGTGGATCGGAAAGACTTAAAGTAATGAAGAACCTTGTAGGTAAAGCCAGCATCAGTTATGTGTTGCCAAAAAAGGAACTTTTCTACATATACAAAAATCATTAGTATTCATCTATATCTCTGTTGCACACAGACGAGGATCAGCCACTTCCATTGTGTCCGGCTACCCATCTGTTCATCTGGGCTCTGCTGACTGAACGCAAGGATTCCGCTGAGTTTCTGTGGACTCAACTGCAGGAACCGCTAGGGGCTGCTCTAATGGCCGCCTTGCTGTTACGACGGTTTGCCCATCACGCCGAATCTTTGGTCACGAAGGATGAGCTTCTGGAATACGCTAAGTGAGACTTTGACCAATTCTATTCAAACGTTTTTCTTATCTATCATGAAAAATATGCGGCGCGAAATGCTTTTTACATTTATCATGCAACGCGTGTGCATGGGATCATGAATTATAGTGACCTCATGAAATATGAATAGAGAACACTGTAACAATGCTATACATTTTTTCCGGAAATAGTTCGCTGAATCTCTTCAGAAACGCTCTATAGCTGAAATATAAAATAAGATAGTAAGCTACAGTTCCCGTTAATGATTTGTTGGTGTTTAAACTGTCCACTTTTTCTCAGTATCGCGCAAGATGTACAACTGTCTTCTATCTATACAGTTTAATTTTTCATAATTTGATAGCAATCACGTCTACCAATTGGAACAAACGAGAGTTTTGCATGAAGAACATACTTTGTAACGCCTAAATCCCGTCTTTGAGAAGTGCCGAGCGATCGGTCAATGCTGTTTTGATACGTTGGGTTACCTTTGAAACAAATGCGGAAGGTTCTTTAGACGCTTATTATTAGCACCGTCGCAATTGGTGCTAAAATGGTGCCTATGAGAAAAATTCACCAATGTGACAGAAAAATTTGTATGCCGGATGATTTCGTTGACGAAACAATAAAATCCAATGAAAATGTCAATGCGAACAGCTACCTGAACTCCTTCTTCAAAAGTAGAGCAACAGATAATCGCATTTAAGTGCAATTTTGTTTTGCAAATCCCATTCAAGGGTAGTGATGGAAGTATATTGTTAGAATTCCATCTTTGCTCATAGCATACAACACAGAATAATAAATCTTTGTCCACTTATAGGATGAAACAACGGCTGATTGCGTGAACGAGCTGCCTTCCCTGTATCCGAATTCTTATTAGTCGCACCAAGTCGTTTATGGTGTGTACCTGAGGAGATACAGCCATCTTTCCGTTAATCTGATCAAACCTCACCGAGACTACTGATTCCTTGAAAATCGGTGCCCAAAATATTACCTGTCTTAAGAATCTAGGTTGAGATACTACAAAAAGAATAGTGTGATAACATGGTATGAAATTTCCTTACTCATAATTCGCTGTGTTTGTTTGATCTAGAAAAGAAAAGGTTTTCTACAAAGTATCTTGTACAGACAAAACCACTCCAAAAGAGTCTGATGTGTATGTGGGACACAGATCGTTCATGTGAACAAAGGTTTCAGCGATCATTGCATTTCAGTTTACATGTTTTGCTGAAATCTAAACTACATACACTCTTTCACTTGTCCAGTTCATTCCAACTGATTGGAAGTAGGTATGTTTTGCCCATTATCTGACTCAGTGTTACAGACATATGTAGGAGTACAATGCACACACTGCTGTATATGCCTTTAGTCGGGATTGCAGAGAGTCCTAAACAATTACATTCCTTCTATTATAAAAAATCTATGCAAAAGAATGATTGAAACTGACAGTATCACTTCTTGTATATTTTCTTATATCCTGTAACTAACAGCTCGTATGAAGAGAAAGCAGGCGGGTTGCTAACAGAATGCTTCACAGAGGATCCACATAACGCGGCTCAAGCCCTGATTCGAGAACGAGCCAGTTTTGGTTATATGTCCTGTTTGATGTTAGCTGCCGATGGTCATTCCATGAGTTTCATCTCGCATCGATGCTCCGAGCAGTATCTGAAACAGGTCTGGTGCGGAGCGATCGATTCCCAGACAACCAAGTTCACAGTAAGTTCATCTGGTAAGCTAAACTTTGATTCGGGAACAGAAAGAACCAATCTTTCTTGGCTGTTTTTTCCTTTTACTGGGGTTTATAAAAGTGAACCAGAAATCAGAAAAACTTCCCTTTCCCACCTTTTCTTCTATATATCAGTTCCTGGTTAGCATGGTAGTGGGTATTGCGTTTCCTCCGTTGGTCCCGTTCACCTTGAAATTCAATCTGAAGCCGATTCGAACGAAAGAAGAAAAGGACGAGGATGAAATTGTGGTGAATACAACGCCCAGACATGGGGTAAGTAAGTGACTGGAAAAATCTTTTGACAGTTACCTGTGGAAGGATTATACAGAGAGTGCCACTGTTTATGAGGAACCAACCTTGAGCTGACTTTCTGTTTCGGTTAGATTAACCTATGTGATCGATAATTATTACCATTGGCCGATTCAATATTGTTAACGGGTTTGTACTGTGAGTTAATTAATCTTTGTTTAGATTAGACCACCCTCGTGATTTCGCGTTACCAATTTGAATCATCGATTCTTGGAATTCCCATTTGTACGAGACAAAAAGGTTGTCTGGTATCTGCTATCAAACAGAATCGACCAGTTATCTAATCACCGTGTTCACTGGTCAATGGGTGCAATTGTCTTTATTTCTATCCCTTGGATTTTCAGTTATGGTCCTTCATAATAATTTTCCGCATTTTGCTTTTTGGTGTATCGGCGTGGTTCGTTCGTGGATTTTATGGTGACTTGTTTTGATCAACACAAACTGCTATTTTAATGGGTATAATGTGTCCAGTTTTGATTGATATAGTACCATTGGTGATCTATAGTGTAAAAAACATGCAGTAATGCATGTCTGAGGTGTAAATTACACTACCGATAACTTTTGGAGCTACTCTGTGGTGGATGAATACAGCATATGATTTTAAATTTTATTTCCTGTTTAAATAGAATTCGAAAAATTTATTCACATCACCGATCTAGAGAAAAAATATGGACCTCTTCATACGTACAAGTAAAGCTCATGTGACCATCTGAATAGTTACCGTGATTCACTTCTTTTGGCTTATTGCAGAGAATAAGCTGAAGTTATGAGGGTCGTGAATTTTGATGAGCGTATCCCACGGGACAGTCCCTAGCATCATCAGGCTTTTTTGACGGCGCATCTCTGGTCTTTGCGCTACCAATTGTGGATCACAAGTCATCATGGTGTGCTGGTACATAGTTGCCGGTGGCCCAATAAAAGCTCATTCAACAGATAAGCTTGCAACGCAGATGTCTACGCATTGCTGTTAGCCAGGTTGCTATGGTCAAGTGGGAATGGTCTTCAACGTATGGACGCACAAGTTGTATACTTGAACCCCACCACCGCCACTGCCACCACTGATTGACCTCTATTTCTACTATATGACAACTTTGTGATTGGCTACTTTCCCCTTAAAGAAATCTTGTATACTATTATCCATTAAACAAAAAGATGTTAAAAGCTAAAAAACGTTCAACATATTTCCTTCTTCACTCTAAGCTTAGGGGAAAGATTTTGTCTGCCCCCTGTTAATTAGATTTCTTTGAATATGGTGATGGTGGTGACTCGGTGACAACGTCACCAAATTATCACCCCAGTCGACGTGTGTTCGAATCCCGCCACCACCACCTGACTTTCCCCGTTTGTGTGTTGTACGGAGGCCCTTTGATTAACCGAAAAGTGTATCATTTTGTATTCAATAAAATGAAGTAAATATGAAGAATGAAAAAGTAAAGCTTCGTAAAATAATAAGAATAAAGAAGTGGAATATGCCCCATGGCGCACTAGATGCTCCTCCTATCAGAAAACTTTTACAGCGCCTTTGACGAATTTGACAAACACCATTTTAACTAGATGATGAATGAACTAACAATGTTTTCTGTAATTTTAAGTTGTTAAATAAAGTTTTTGAATGTATGAAGATTTCTCCGTGGTCATTTGCAGATGACCTTAATAAGAATCAAAACCTAAACAATACTTTTCAACCAACATTTTCTACCATCTGACAATTGGAATTATAGTTTTTTGAAGAAAAACGTTTCACCGGCATGAATATGCGTTCCACGGTAAGTGCATGGTTAACAGACACCCGTGAAAACAGGTCAAACAAGAACTAACCAAAACAAATCCGTATATTTGAATCCAATTTCTCGGGGTGCAGCCTTACCGGCGTGTTCTTCTATGCGTGTGCAAAACTTTGATTGCATTCCTAATCCCATTTTTAATTGGATTTTTGGCCACGACTTCAAAGTTCGTCATCGGCAGAAGTCATTAGTCTTCTGTTTTCTACTTAGCACTTATATGTATTTCACATGGGACGTTCAGTTGAGATCAGGAAGTAAGTTCTGTCACTGGATGTTCAGAGACCAGCGCTTAGCAGATTAAAATCAGGTCGGAATTTGGTACGCTGAACGAAACAGTCAATGTGTTTCCTTGTTCACAGACTCTGACGTTAACATGACAGTTTGTTGACCTATATTTTTAGTGGGTGGATAAGGGTTTTATTTGCAGCCTCTAACTACATACTGCATCCCCTAACTCTTATAAAATCCTGCAAATTATGCCAGGTTTTCCTTCGTCTACTTAGTGCGCGCCGACTGGTTTACTACGCAGCTTTTAAAGCCTTCCCTAAACATTTTATTGAGCTAAATCAACACCGTTTGGCACTATGTTCCAGTGTTCGCCAATTTATTTTTATTGAATGGTTTCTTAGTTAACCTGGAGAGTCATTCCTGGTTATCCATCAGGAGTTAAATCAGTCAAACTTGGACAGACAAGATTCCACAGATTGCCACTATACTGCCAGATCGGCCGCTGTGATCAGTTTCAAATCAACCTTTTCGACAACAGAGATTGACTGTGGCTAACTATACCCGTTTCGATTAATTATCCCCAGTAAAGTTTCAAAATAAGGACGTAACAGTTGCCCAGTGTTTCAAAGGCTTCTCATACTTGCCCTCGTCAACTTATTTGTACTGTTGAACTCGTGCATTTATTCTAATGCAACATTTTATATCAGTGCGTGTAGACTTGACACCTGCTGATAACTGAGCAGATTTGTATCGATTTACTTGATTTTTATGTGTACCTATGACGTTAATGAATTAACCTGAGAGGCATTCTGTCGTTCATATTACATTGGTCCATAGTTGCCATTCAATCAATGGATATTGCCACATACAGTGGTTGTTTTCGATATGCACGAAATAGAAGTTGTAGTTGGCAACAGAGCTTAGTCCTTACACGGAGCATGTGGATGAGAAAATGCGTCACGCTATGATTATCATATGGTATTTGAGAAGCAGTTATCGTCTTATTATGGATTCTGGTAGCAATCGAATCCTTGTCTTGCCCCATAGGGTGGTTCTACGTTTAAATCGGAGAAAAATAAGAACTACTATGTACAGTCCGAGGTACGAAAAACAGCATACAGTAGACCCTTCTTGCACACTTTTACGTCGAGAACCACTATGCGCTATTGAACTATGATACATTCCAGAATTTATTAAACCTTAACTTGAAAAGTTCAATGGAGTGGATCTAACCAAAGACAGTGAAGCAATTCAACATTCTGTGCAGCCATCGATGACGCCTTGGTACAAGCGATCGAACAGCCCAAGTTCTGCGAATATATGTCGCTTAAATCCTTCTCGTTTGAGGAATGTGGCAGTCAGCATTTTCCGAGGATATACGGAAATTAACCATTGTCCTCTAGTGATAAAACCTAGCGAGTTTATGCAGAGTTCAATAAACTAGGGCAAGCTTTCCCCGTGAGAAATTTGAAAGAAGTCACTACAGTAACATCGCATGATATATGTCCTGGACGATTTCGCTGCACCTCAACTAGTGCCTACTGCAGACAAGTGCTTTGTTTACATAGGGTTTGGAAATGGATTATGAAATAGATCAAGTTGAATAAGGGAAGAGTCACCAAGGCAAAGCCAGGATGATAAACTACTGCATCGTTCAATTTTGTTCTGGCAAAAACAGTTAATAAACTGTGATAAGTGTTCTAGGAGTGGCTCTCAAGATGTGCCAATTGATATAGGGCTGATTTCGTTGCCAACTGTAAAAGGAGCCTTGATTTGGCCTCAGAACAGGGAACCAATCAGTCTTACTCAACTTTGGGTGTAACTCTTCTGTTCCATCCACAGCGCTATCAGCCTTCATCAGCAGCTATTATCTGACAGTATCCTATTGTTCGTGATCTCGCTTCTAATTGTTGTTTCACGCTTGTTTTACATCGATTAAATAAGTGGAACCAAAATTACGGATATAAATTACGTTTTACCACTTGTTTATTTTTAATGCAAAAGCAATAATTATAAAATCCATCTTTTGCGCGGACTAACACTATGTCATTCATCAGTAGTGTTGTCAGCACTGACGAATCCGCATGGTGCCGTGTTGCATTGTTAAGTGTGCTATTATCACAGACCCAAGGAGTTTTGCTAATGACCCACGGTTTCACAGACACACACGCACACAATACGACCAAACTGGATTTCTTGATTCATCTAATTTACCTAACTTGTTTGATGTTATACGTACGCGGCAGATGAGGGTGAACGAAAGGAATTCCTCTCACAGTGTTTGCTTTCTGACTTGTTAGATCAAATTCATTACTAGCGCTTAGTGTTCCGTTCCCTGAACTTGAGCTTTGTTCATAAAGGGGGCCTTTTGGAAGTTAGTTATTTTGTTTACACAATGTGTTTAATATGCGTCAGAGATTTGTCGTGTCATTTACCAGTAAAAGTTCATAATTCTTTTTTGGCCCTACGTTCCGGCTATATACGTTTTCCTATTCCGTAAAACACTTGAACCCTAGAGTGCTTTGTGTAGAGAAATATGGATGTAAGGTAAGCTAATAAGAATAAACCAGGCAAGTAACACAAAAACTTAGGATCATCGCAGTCTAGGTTTAAATCCTAGGATATTAGACCGTGGGGTTTCTCTCAGATTCTTAAAAGGATTGAAACGAGTGTTCAAAGCTCCAATAATTTTGAAGTTTAGATCGGTATATTAGAGGGTAGGGATAAATACCACTTTCGCCAAATTTATTTTGTTTCTCTTAGAGATGTCGAGAGCATACAGCTGAGCTGACCAATAACATTGGACCAAATATACTGCACATTCCCCAAATAATAACTATTTCGATGGTCCACAATGCTCCAAACTTTGTTCAGACATCATCAGTATAATATTGCCGATTGTATAGGAACAACTCATGGGGTTTTAAACCAATCAGTTTGCAAACCAAGACGGACTAAAATCTCGCTATTTACAGAAAATCGGGGACCAATACAAAACCACACCATAAAACTGATCATTCACTATTCATACACCGATTAGGCTAATGGAACTGTCTGATTGGGACCAGCATCAGACACTATTAATCGTGCATACCTGACTGTGGTGTCGGTTTTATGATTGCTAAAACGGAAATTTCATTGAATACATTTCGTATGACCAACCATACGAGTTAATTTGCTATCCAATACGGCATTATTTGTTTGCATTGTTTTTCTTTAACGATTTACTTTTTCAACTAAATCTCGAGGTCGAATTGTTATATATGTGTGCAATCAAAGGGGTACAAAATGAGGACGCGAAAATCAGTCGAGTTGGATGGAAATATATGAACTTTGATGCGATGAAACTCACTGGAGAGCAACAATACATGTACTGTGATTTGTGTGAATTCGCATAGAATTGAAACAATCTCCTGTTTATCTTCGTGTACCCGTGCGCTCAAGCATTGGCCGTCAACCACCTAATAAGATCCTGGACTCCCAAAGTAAACGCTCCTAGTTCAAGCCCCACGTGTGAAATGATAATAGCAGGCACTACTGATGAGTTACAACAATCCTGAGGCCTTTAGGTAAAGTTTATCTATTCGTGAGTGGTTTTAAATGCTTCAAGCGGAGTCCCAAGTTACACATACATACAAAACAATCGCTGATATCACCCATCCTCCAATTCTGCTCTCATCGA